CCCCCCCCCCCTCAGAAAAGGCGCCTCTCATGCTCTGCCGCAAACATCCTTTAGATGGCAGCGTAGTCCCACACAATCCTTCAGAAGATATGGTAGCCAGGGCTGTAATGCGGGTCTGGTAAAATCAGTCACACAGCGAAGACTTTGACCCGTGATGGCTCCGTTGCGAGGATACGGACGGAAACCCACCAAAGGCATCGAATAGAATGTTATTTGTGCGTGTGCAAGGCATGAGCTGCTACGAAGTGTACAACAAGATAACAAACAAAGGTGGAACAACCTGACACAGTGAGCGCCAATGGCTACATATACAGAGTAGAAGCAGGGGAAGGAAAGGTACAAATTGTACAGGTTTGCAATCAAAAAGGTCAACAAAGCAAGCGTCAAAGAAAGAAGACTGAAAGGAAGAGGGTCCGCGCTGGGATGTGCAGAAGTTGATAGGGTAAAATAAAAAAGATAACAACGGTGATACGTAGAACATCGCATACACAAACGTAGAGATCAACTAAGCCTTCGTTGTGGCCTAACCGAGACGAGCAAAACGGTGGGAACGAGTCCAGACGCTTGAGAACTGGACTTTGAATGGGGGACGGGAGATAAACAGGAGAAATAACAAGTCAACAAGAGTAGAGAAGGTACAAACTGTCAAATGAGATGCAGCAAACAGAAAAAAAAGAAGATTTGGCATCTGAATACTTGGAAAGCTCTATATATGCTGAGGTCACGAAAAGGAGAATCAGAAGATTAGAACTTGGAAAAAAGAATAGGCCAGCGCTCAAGGTTGGAGTTGCACTTACTGGACACTTCCCATCTTTATTTCTAAAACGATGCGATCCCCACCAGCCTAGAGGATGGATAGAACAACTCGTTTTCAATAACACATTAGTACACATGTTTTCCAAAAGTATGATTTCAGTCAGCCGATAACAGTTTTCGGACAAAAATAGGCCACCTTAGTAGTAAAGCTGAGTTAGGATTCCTTAGAGGGAAGAAAACGCAAACGGTTACCATACGAGCTGGATAATAAAAAAAGTTAAAGTTGATTACCGGTTGGGCGGAAAATGCCCCCCACACGACCGTGTGCAGTAACCGTTAAAGTCGGCGTCGTAACTTCCTGCTCGCATCCAGTACACATACCGGCAGCCGACGGTTAGTGGTGACTGGTCATTCTTACGGTCTGGCTTACCGACAGCATAACAGAGACCATACTAAAAAGCCAATAGGGTTCATAAATATTCCTAAGACAATCCAGGTAACTGGGGCAGCCGAGTAATCTAGTTAAGACATTGCAGTCCAATTAACCGGAACTCGCTGTAAGCAAAATATTTGGTGTTTTACTGTCCACAGGCCAAGACATGTCCATTCGCCGTAGTCAAAGTAGCAATACAAAAAGCAAACTCCTCTTAGTTTAAGCTATCGAGGGAAAATGAGGCGTGAATCTGTGAACAGTCTATCAGCAACTTACGTTAGCCTGATGCTACTGGTGGACTCAGCTTCGAGAGGAAGTCAATGAACCTGTAGATAAACCGAGAGAGGAATGCGGGACATGAAGAGTTGGCGGCAAACTGTTGCAGGAGAATTCGCAGTTCATAGAAGGTTTGCCTGAAAAAAAGGAAAAGAATTTAAAAGCCAGAGTCCTTATTCTGGATGGTCTCCTGGCTAAGAAAGCCCTGGTCGTTATCAGCGTCATGGGGCAAGCCAGTGGACTGGGTATTTTTTTTTCAGTGAATCCCCTTCTCTCTCAATTAGACGGGAAAAAGTATACACCAGTCGGACAAGCCCCATCGATACTATTTCCAGAAATAATCTGAAAATCGGTGGAACCAAGAAAATAGATAGAAGCAGACATGCTACAACGAAAACATTGCTGACGTTTATCTTCAAAAATTCTCCTGTTGAATCCAGTTGAAAGCCCCTTCATT